CCATTCTATGATTCTATGATTCTATGATACCTACTGTAATCAGAAGGATCATATGAGTGGGCACCTTACTGTCTTATCTAATGGTCTACATGCCTGATATAATCTGATCTTGACCAGTAACTCTGTACCTCAAGCCCAGTACTTCTGAGTGAACAAGGGTATCGTTCCCCACTTAGGGCTCTGTTGTCTGCAGAGAGCCCTCCAGGACAAGTAATCCATAATGGCTATCTTCCTTCCTCCCTCTTCCCCTGGTCTTCATTAGGTCACATTGTAGTGGGGCAACCATGATGTACATCTTCCTGTGTCAGTAAAATAATCTGTGTTGCCTGCCTAGCTGAAAGTGTGGAGATGAAATATGCATCTAAGAAGCAATTTGTGCAGATTAGGGAACTGATCCTTAAATTGAATCAGTAACTTAATCTAAATTAGTATCTTACTTTGGGTCTTAGTCTGTCTTCTCTGTCTAGTCATTTTATCGTACATACTTGCCTGCTGCATTAAGCAGTCTTGTGCTACCAGAAGTATAATTTTAAGTGTACTTACAAGATGTAACTGTGTTACTAATCACAGAATAAAAAGTTTTAAAAATCTTTTGATACAGAACTGAATACCTCAGCATGTTTTTATTGACCATAATAATATATATTTTTTTATTTCACTTAAGAGCAATGTTTTTTTCCCTGGCAATGTCTTTTTATTTTCTTTTTCTCTCTAGCATGAAGAGAGGATTTCAGTGTTTTAGAGATGAAAAAATGTGCAAACTTAGCATTGCCATGCACAGGGGCAATCCTCAGTTTTGAATTTAGAGTAAATGGTAGCAGAAAGGAAGACATTCTGAGAAGCTTGTGGTCAAAACATTATTTCTTTAGCCTTTGACTCAAGATGAAATTTTGTCTGAGTAAACCTTGGCTATCAAGTTGATTATTTTTGCTGTGGTGCCCACTCTTCTACTTCTGTTAGCTCCCAGGGTCTATGTACATTTCAGACTTTTGTGTAGTGAAGCTGTCTTTGCATTTCAGAAGCAGTCTAATTGTAGAACTCCACACAGTTAAGGTTCGTGACAGGAGGTTTTCTGTAGGGATAGGAGTGAGTGAATGCATAGGTAGTAATCTTCAGAGAGTATAGTGCTTGCATTTGTTGGAGGTGGTTTTTTTTCTGTCCAGGGTTAAGACCTCGTCTAGGTTCATGTCTGTCCTCTACCTGACCTATAGGAATTTGAATCTGAAGTTCCTACTGCTCAGGAGGGACATTTTGAGATTATACTATTCTGGGGAGAGAGGTGTCTCCTGTTAAAATCCTGATTTAATTAAAATACTTTCACATTCTCTGGAGCATAGAGTAGAATTGAGGGTTAGGGTTAACCCTAAGTTGAGAGTTTAACCATAACTATATAGTTATGCTTGTTTAGTCTGTCTTGATCCAGAGTGTATTTTGTATTTAACAAACCAAAACAACTTTGGCAGAATTTCACTCCATTATTGTATTGATGAGTTCAGTTCCTTGAGAGCTGTGTTCTGAAACAAGCACAAAAGGGATTAAAATGTGTATCACCACTGAATGTTCTCACCACTGGGCTGTTTTAGGCATAAATGAAGGATGCAACTATTTCCTTACTACCTTTGTGAATCTAGTTATAAATCTAGTTTAAGAAAATTGAATAGTTTAACTAAAAATGTAGAAAAAAGCAATGCCCACAATTCCACTCAAACATATTATTGTAGGATGCTGTCAGCTGAGTTCATAAACTTCACGTTGATCAGAATTGTACTTTTAGCAAAAAAATTGTCCAGACCTACTTATAGATTAACTTCAGATTAAACCTTTTATTTTAGAAGTTTAAAACTTTCTGGAAAATGTACAGCAAAACTAAAAATTATAAATTCAGTAATGTTTTAAAATATTAAAATGTTAATTTATTAATCAGGAAACATTTTAATATTTACAAATCTTAGCAGCCTTTTGAATTTTACAAACAAGTATTGAGATGCTTTTTACCGAGATTCTACATGTCTCTCTCTTTTTGAACTGCTTGGCTTGATCCGGCTTAGTTCTTTTAAAAGAGCGAAATGTTGTATAATGCTTGCAATTAAACTGTAAATTAAGAAATATGTGAATGAATGGAAATCAGGGTTGTCAGAAGGCAACTATACCTATCCATTAAATAATCTCCGCCTGTGATTCATTTTGTGCGTGGGGACCAAACAAGACTATATTCTGGTATGCACAAATGCATCTCCTTTTGAAGTCTGTATATTTACAATAGCTCCATGTTACTTTTGTCATCTGCTACTTTTTGAAGCTAATACCAAAAATATATACAAATAAACCAAAGTTAGTGTTGTATTTACATAAGACTGGAATTAATTTATAATATATTAAACTGATTGTATTACAGAGGGAGACTATAGCTGTAAACATAAAAAATATCATTGAGTATATTAGATACTGTTTTCTGTCTTCTACAGATTTGCTGTTCTTCAAGTCCAACTGTAACACCAAGTTCTGGTAGCAGTAGTTCTTTATCACCTCTTGGACCTCTTTGTAGACAGAGATCATTAGCAAATGGCATTTTGTGTTCTGAGTCTAGCACATCAGGTGTTTCTCCACCAACATCTAGCTATCCAAAAGCACCAGGCTTTGAACGAGAAGATCAGGTATGTGAATAATGTGGGTCAAAGTACAAATGCAGTCTTAAGTTAAATTAGATTCAGCAGAAAATGTTGTCTGCCTCGTCTGTCGGCACTGATTTTTGATAATTTAGAACACAGAATTTGGAACTCTCTACTTTAGTGAGCTAAACTGCATCAAATTACAGTTGTCACAGGCCAAAATCACTCATGCAAACAGTCACTGCAGCTCAGCTGACATGCAGTAAATTCTAACTTTGCAGAAATATTGTGATTGTCATTTTGAGCCTGTGTTGCCAAGAACAGGGTAAGATAGCAGTGGAAAAAAGATCACAGCTAGACTTGGTAGGATTCAGTTTTAATTACTGTTGAAAATTGATGATGAAAAGTTGCATTAATTTCTGGCTGTTGATACTATTTATGAGTTCCAGTCTTTGATTAATTTCAGTCTGTTTCTTCTCCCACCTGCAGGGCCTCTCTCCTTAGACAAGCTGCTGAAACAGACATAGATGATAAAATATAACAAGCTCCTTGAAGGGAGAGAGAGATCTGTAGCATTAGCAATGAGAGTAGAGTGGTTGAAATGGAAGTTAGTGAGAAGTTATAATCCTTTAGTTGGGGGGTGGGAAGAAAACAGGCAATGATAGAGACAGCTGGGAGAAGAGAAGACTGATTTTTTCAGGGATATGAAACAGCTCTGTTGGCCTGTGCGAAAAAAGCTGAAGGGTCAGGATTTACCTGTTAAAGGTAAATTTTTCTCACTCCATTATACTACTGGCTACACTTCTGAATTGTCAGAAAGGAACTGTTTAAAAAAAGGAGATCCAATGGTACATTTAAATAAGCTGCAGCCAGGCTGATCAGCCTTTTTGCAAAGCAGTGCTGTGGCTTGTCAGAATTGATTTCTATAACCTGAGATGCACAAAGAAGTGCAGAAGTAAAAGGTGGAGAAAGAATGAAAGGAAGGGAAGTGGTTTTTGTAAATGGTAACTTTTTGTTATGGTGATGGCAAGATCATTACTCTTAAGTTTTCCGGGCAAGATTGCTTTCATACGTGTAGATGTTCAAACAGACAATAGGTTAGAGAGCTGGTCATTGTGAAAGGAAAGATTTCCATCTTCTGCTATAGAGATCAAGTGATCCTTGATCAAATGTCATGGAAGCAAGCCAGTTACAGTATCAAATGGCTGCTTTCTGGACATGGGGCATCAATACCTGAGAATTGATGAAACCATTGGTGAAGATCTATTTTGCTCTTTTGGTCATAATTAGCGAGTAATGTACTGCTACAAAAAATGTGTCTCAGTAGCAGAAATGTCATGTGTTTGCCTTTTAGTGGCCGCACTGAACCTGTCTAGAGAGGAAGAATGATGGACTTTACAATTGATAAAAATCTATGTGGAGTGGTGGGAGGCCTATAAAGAGGAGGAGAGTTGTTACTGCTAGCGAGCTTTCACTACCAGACAGATTAGGAATCTCCCAAAGGAAACAAGGAACAGACACAACAAGACTGCTCAAAGGCAGCATAAAGAACCATTTTTCCTATGGAGACAGAGAACACCTTGCAGACTTTACTGCAATTCAGGAAGTCACTGAAAATTACTGGCCTGAAAAGAACAGAGATCCTTTGATGCTGCTCTGCAAGAACATAGTGGCAAAGAGAAATTGCTTAGAATTCCCTTTTGTTTAAGTACATTTCACTTGTTTCAAAAGTTACCTTATTATAAAATGGTGTTAAAAGAAAATTGGTCTGTATATTTGAATTTTTGTTGTTGTTGTTATTTGTAGCATGATCACTTTAAGGGAAAATCTAGGCAGTTCCACTCAAACTTTTGGCTACCTCAGAGTTCTATCCCACCAACCTCTTGGAGAAGTGTTCCCCACCCAGTGATCATCTGGAACATCTTAATTCTGTCACAGCCTCATGCTGTCATGGCAACTCAATTTTTGGACCAGAAATAACTTGTGTGAGCACTCCGTTATGCATATAAGTGGAACAAATGCAACTAGTGTTCCTTTTCTGTGTAGATTTACTCTAAAGTCATTAAAATTTAATTCTTCATACAGTACTGCAGTGAGGGAAATGAAGTCAGCCTGTTGAAGTTATCATTACAGAGATGCCACTGACCCTTTGTAAACTCATATTTTACAGCAATCACTCATTAAGTTCATATATTACAGAGATTTTTCTTCTTTCAGGCAAAGCATCAAAGCTTCCCAGCTGAGAATCAGCAGAAGATAAATGATCAAGACAACAAGCAGGTATTGCCAAAAGCTAAATGCTGTAAATATTTTGCCCTTTTTAATAATTTGTTAATGCAGTATCAAAGTTATGGGGCACTTTGCAACCTAGTCTGTGGAAAATCTGTGCCCAGTGACAGGACAAGAGGCAACAGGCACAAACTGAAACACAGGAGGTTCCATCTAAACATATGGAAATACTTTTTTACTGCTCATGTGAGACTAAGCATTGGAACAGGCTGCCCAGAGGGCTTGTGGTCTCCCTCCTCAGAATTATGCAAAAGCTGTCTGGACATGGTCCTGGGCAACCAGCTGTAGGTTCTGTGAAAATACACAACAGATGTGTGTTGCAGGGAGTACCAGGGATGAGAAGAATATGAGGCAATTTGAGGATGCTTTTGATTATAGCAAGTCCATGGCAGAGTTTTCACAGTTAAATTTTTTTATTAACTTGATTTGGGGATGGATTGATAAAATTTCAGGAAGGTGAGACAGTACAGCTGTTCAAGCGTCAGATGCTCAAAAGTAGAAAAATAGTTAAAGTGACAATAGATATTTTCCTTTTGAAAAGGACCATCAGACTTCAGCTAACTAATTATGTTTGTACAGCTTATTTGCAAGTATTTAAATACCTTTTTTCTGAAAGCAGAATTTCCTTGTATGATAGTGATGTCCAGCCACATTGGAGAAATGCACTTGCTGGTAAATTATAAGGAAAATTATCTTAGTCTATTCATTCAGAGGGTTCTTCTGGATTCTTTCTGTTTGAATTAACTACTTTAAAAAAATACATACTGTTTATTTTATATGTTTTTACACACATCTGTGTAAGTGTGTTTGTGTGTGTATACATATGTTGTTTGGATGTTTTTTTAACAGAACCATCTTAGTGTTTTTTCAGTGGTTAACCCGCTTGCTTCAAGTATAACTTCCAGTCTGGCCTCCAGTGTTGGATCAGATAGTTCATCTCCTACAACTCTCTCTGCTATCAGTGCCAAAGCTCTGCCATTCTATTCTGGCAGTAACACAGTTGAATCACTACTAGGTGAGTCTTAACATCTAATCTCTGACTGTACACGTTTTGTTGCATTATTCAAGTTCTTCTTGTTTCACATAAGTTCAAAGAGCTTATTGGTAAAGACAGTAATGTACACAGCTGCTTTATTATATATAATTAAAAGCAATATCTGAAATTTAATTTAAATGTTTTCACCCAAAATAATAATTTTGCACAAGGTGTCCAATATGAGCATAGGAATGAGTGAATGGGACATTTAAACCAGGATTTTGGCATTGGTATTGGCCAGTGATTTAAAAAAAAAATGTGTAAAATTTTTGTAATACAACTCACTGTGTTGCTAGAAGTAGTAGTGTCTTTCCAACTTCTGTTGGTGGGCTGATGAGATTTAATTTTTTTTTTTTTTTTTATGTTACCATAGCAGGTACAATTGCATATATTACCATGTTCACATGAAAATTGGAATATTTTTCTTTGGCTGACTGCATATTCTTGAGTCTGGTTATTTGTATGTGCAAGGATGAAATCTTTTGTTCACACTATGTGGACCAGATCTGAAATGGACACGAAGAGGAGAAGCCCTTGCTTTCTGGGTGCACAAGACAGATTCTGGGAAATACTCACTTCCAAAATTTCTGCCATTAGCCCAGAGCTTTTCCTATGCTTCTGATGAGCTAGGCTGTTTATATGGAAAATGGTAAAAGGAGATAGATAAATATTCAGATAATAATTAGACACTGTGAACTTCAAAACTGGTCATGGTACTCCTGCCATGGTCTCACAGGTGCTGGATAGAGAGGAGTAATCACTTTCCTCAACCTGCTGGCAACACTTTCACTAATGCAGGCCAATATGCTGTTAGCTTTTATTGCCACAGAACAAGCTGAATGTGTCATTCATCAGAATTCCTAGATCTGTTTCTGCAATGCTGCTTTCTGATCATTTGGCCCCCAGCCTGTATTGTTGCAAGGGATTATTCTGTCTTAGGTGCAGCATTATTGTATTTGCCTTTGTTGAACTTCATGAGGTTTCTGTCAGTCCTGTTCTCCAGCCTTTTGAGATCCCTCTAAATGGCAATCCTGCCATTGAGTATATCAGCTGCTCCCCTTAATTTAGTATTATGAAACAAACTCTTTGAAATTTGTGTCACTTTTACACTGAATGTTGTTTATTCAGGAGGCTGTGGCAGGGAATGTTGGTATTTGAAAGATGCTGTTTCACATTCTGTGGTGTAAGTCACATGATCAGGGAGTTACTGTGATTAGCTGGTGTACTTGAAGCTTTCTGTGTTTAAATCGATGTGTAGCAGCGACCAGGAGACTGCAGACAGTGAGTCAGCACTTCGGTATGGTAAGTTAGGCATTCACTCTTTTAATTTTTTTTAGGAAAGAAATCTGTGCAGAATATTAAATGATGGATCTTTTCTGCAGTCTCACAAGGGTATAGCTTGCTTTCCTTAAAGGTTTTTTTTATTATCTGTGTGTTAGAACATAAAATAAAATTTAAATTATATTTAAATTTCAGGACTAGACTGAGCAGAATTTTATTTTTTACTCTGTGCAAGAAATATAATTTAATCAGTTTACGATTAATATTTTGAAACATACTGTGGAATGAAATCACATTTTTGTCAAGATAAACGTTGTTTCTGGAATAAGTAGAGGCTAGCTGGCTGTAACAAGCTACTCATATAACAATAAAACCCATGGTTTAATTTCAGTATACTAGATGTGATGCTAATTCAGTATAATTTTTAAATCATGATATACTGAACAAGTGTTGCAAAGTAATTTAAACAGTGATATACTATGTTTCCCATGTCCCAGTATGATTATATTATTGAGCATAAGAGCCTCTTGATTCCTGAGTTAGAATATAACTCTGCTGCCTACCAGTGTTTTTCTAAAACAGTTTTCAGTATAATATGTTCGTTAACAGAATATGAATCACAAAATACATGTCTCTTGTATGTATAAGTTCGTGATTCTGGTTTCTATCCTTAAAAGAATTTCATGTATATAAAAATTATTTTTCCAGAGTTCTAGGTCATGGATATACAGGATGACATTGAAAATTAAGTGTTGCACATAATCTGAATAGAGCAGAAAATTACGACATTATTGTAGAAGACAAAATAAATACATAGTGCTCTTGTATTGTAGGAAGTGGTGGATTGAAGAATCACAAAAAAAAAAAAAAGGATAGAAAAAGAGCTGCAGCAAGGGAAGGGGCTAGATAATTATGAGAAAAGGGGTTGAATGGGTTTGGATAAAGACTTAGGAGAAATGCAGGAGAGTTACATTAGCAAGGACTGAGGAAGCTTTGTCAGACAGTGGGATCTGTATCTGTTTATGTGGCCCTTTATCTTGATCTCACAGTGAGCTCAAAGCCATCTCTGTTTGCTCCCTGAGTAGTAATCCGCAAGAGGTGGGGAAGAGAAGGGTGCAGGGGAGTTGGGAATAAGCGTATGAATCAGATAGAACTAGTATTTAGCATTGAGGCTTGGACAGTATGTTGAAAACTGAGGAATGATGGAGTGGAAGAAGGTATATTGCTGCAGTCTGCTGCTGTCAGAGTCAAGGGAGGTTGGTTAAGTTGTCTAGTTTTGTTCTGGTAAAAAAAAAAAACAAAAGCAGCATAATCTGAGAACATAACGGCTCTGGGGCGTTTGAAGTCCTCAATAAGTTTTGGAATTTTTTTTTTTTTTTTTAAAAAAAAAGCAAGAATTTTTTTTTTAAGATAATAGAGAAATTAGTAAGCAAAGTGTCAAAGGAGACAGATTTGGAGAGCAGTAAATAGGGAACGGGCAGCAGTGATGGGAAATGACTCGTCATAGTAGGGAGAAGGTAGGACCTTAACATTAGGGACATGTGCCAGCCTGATACTCCACTATTTTGTCTCTGTTACATTTTGGATGGGCCTCCCTCTGGGAACGTTTTGGTTGCTTCTGTTGCTTTCTATTGGATGCTTGAGCATGAGGTTATTGCCTGCCTGGGAGATTTGCCATTCAAGGAAAATTGCTGTCTCTCCTTTTGTGTTCTCTTCCTGCACTCCGCTGACTTTCCACTGTGTGAGGTGGAATCTGAGAGAGCCAGAAGGTATCAGAAATTAAACTTTGAAAATCTAGATAATAAATAGTAAGGAGACATGTCAGTCCTTTTTGTGGTAGGGGAGGATGAGTCTGGCAGAATGAGCTAAGGCCTCATGCGAGGAGATGACAGGTTAGTAATTTAGTAAGGGTGCAGGCTTAGATTAAATCTACTATTTGAGTAGTATGATTTATGTCAGCCTCATTGTGTTCTGTTCCTGCTTGTTGTACTTGCATAGCAACCTACTGAGCCAGACACTGCAAATAACTTTAAATATTAGTAACATCTGGGTGATGTGGGGTGTTGCAAGAGCTTGAATAAAAACAGTTTCCCTATTTAAAGATAATGACAGCTCTAATTATGGGATTTTAAAGACTCTCTTTTCATGACTGAGAGAATTTTGAATTTTTTGAAAGTGGAACAGCTTAACTTGGTGAAAGTGAGAGGGATCTCTTTCAGAATATCCTGCAGCATAGTGATGAGAAGTTTGCTCTCACAGGTGTATGGCATTTTTGTACAAAGGATGTTGAGACAGGTTCACACGTGTGAAGATTTATTAGTGGGTTGCATAGCTGATGGCACATAATGGTGAAAATTATTTCCAGGTAAATATAGAAACATAAGAAAAGAGAGAGAGAAGAAAGGGGAAGAAAAAACAGTCTCAGTGGCTGGGTGGGAAAAGAAGTGACAGGCAGGGCAGATGAACATCCTCTCTTGAGCACCCTGTCCAGTGCAGTGGCTGGTTCTTTCCCACATAATACTTTTTGCATATTAACTGTATTAACTATAGATTTCATCAAGACTGTCCCAAACTCCTTATGGGCTCTTCCTGTTCATGATGTTATTAGTGTTAATTGGAGCACACTTTGATCAGTGGATGGTGCTGGGTGCTAATTGGTGTTTGAGCTGTGTCCCAATTTATTATTGGGTCCCTCTAAGGTAAATCAAAAGCTACAATCAGGAGTAGGAGAAGAGAAAGGTAGTGTGATTCTCACACCAGTGGCAGTCACTTCCCCTGAGAACTCACCATAACAATGCTCTGAGGGTTGGCAGGTGCCAAATGGTGAGCATAACAAGATGATGAGCATGAGAACAAGAAAGGAAACTTCCAGAAAGACTCTGGAAGGCACTACCAGAGCAGTTGGGTGAAAGGGCAAGATAGCCCAGCTACAGTGTTGCAGATGAAAGGTCCTTGCCTATGTAAAAGGCAAAGGTAGGTGAAGCACAGTGCAGCAATGGGATCCAAAACCCAGTGTGGAAGAGGGACTCTTAATCTGGGTTTCACACAACACTTGTGGCCACTTTAAGCCTTGATTCATCAAATAAAAGGAGGTCATCTCTCCCCTCTTTACTGTATTGTATAGAAGGACTCACTTAGGCACCTTTCTCCAAGAGAAGGTTATTGCTGGAAAACTTTGAAAAGCTAGGGCATATCCCTTCATGCCAAAATGATGATGCAGAGAGTGCTTCCTCCCTCTGACTCTCAGACACCAAGCTGCTTTGTCAGTACTGCTGAAAGATAAGGATTATTGTTTGGGCACAACTCCATACTAATAAAGTTGTGTTGCTTTTGAGACCCAGGCTAGTAACTCTTCACAAAGAGGTATGTTAACTTTCAGGTATCTTTGTCATGAGCATCATTGTGTAGTATGTGAACTTTATCTCTTGGCTGGTATTTTGTTCTGGACAGCTTAGGCAGCTTCCT